AAAACCACAAATAGTAATAACTGGCTGTTGCAAAGATAACAACAAATATAGCACAACAGCCCCGATAATTAACTGTGTTGAGCACACGTAAAAGGAAACTATAGCTACATCTGATGATATAGTTAACTATTGCTTGAATAGTAGTCTGGTAAATAAGCTCGGAAGGATTGAAGCTAGATAGATTGAAATTGCGATTCTACCCTCCAAGCCTGCAACCATGCGTCACTGAATGACAATAGAAAGATTAAAATCTAGAAACAGATATGTGTTATGACTGAAGAAAAGTTCTTCTTTTTGTCCACAGATCACATTGACAGAATCAAAGCAACTAAAAACACTAAGAAGAAAGGTGATGCTAGAAGAGAAATAAGCGTAGAGAAAGAAAATGAACCCGAGATATTCTAAAAATGCTCAATAATAGCTAAGCTGTGGGGATTGGGTGTGCATATTTTAATCAAAGAAGTGAATAAAAGAACATATGGCATAAAGTTGTTGGACTCTGATTTTTCCCACAATTTACGGTACTGTGTTGGTGTGATCATGAACTGGCTTCCGCAAGGAAGTTCTAAGACTGACGTTACGAGCGAAGGGCTAACGCTGGACACTTCAGCTTTATAAAACTATTTTTAGTGGCTGATTCATTTTGGCGAGTATATGATTCAAACACTCAGTAAACGTTTCATTCTCGACGTCACGAAAGACCCGAGTCAACCATAGCTGCCTACGACAAAGAATTTCGCACAGTACAAGAATCTGATATAAATTTCATAGGTTTAGAGGCAAACCTGTCCATTTTGTATACACTGAAAAAGACGTCTTAGTGTTCAGTAACAAATAGAATCGTACCTGAACGCCTCCCTTTGATTCCCCTTGGATAAATTTCCTATTTTCATCGTGTTTGGAATTTGTTGTTGATCACTCGTACGGATGAGTTGAGGTAAACTTATACACTCTGCAACTGGGCAGCTGCGTTTCTTTTGGCGCGAAATTCACGGCGACGTCATACGGGCCACTAAATGCACATCTACTCAAAGCGGAGCCGCCTACTTAAAAAAACTATCATTTTAGGTCTTCACGAGTTTGATTCTAAACTCTAGACCTCTTTGCTGTTATAAATTTTACAGTGAGCCTTTTTATCAATTTTTTTTTCGCATTTTCTACCTCAGCCAACGGAAAGCAAGGATAACTGAGTAGGTCTTAATTCAACGTGTATTGATTCTCTTATTTCGCCTGGCACTATTCCTCCAACTCGAACACATTTGATTTACTACGAGATTAATGACTTGAACTTGGCTTTAACCAACGCTGAACGATGTCGTTTTAAAAACCAGCATTAGTCAACAAGTTTTGATATCGGTTTTTTTCCCTTCGACATTTCATTGGCTAGATTTGAAAATTTTAGGAATTTTCGTCTCAGATTTGCCCGCTGATTGATGTTTATTGTCTAGATGACTTCATCTCAGTGGTTCAAGTATAAATTTATTTGTAGACATGCATAACTTAGTCAGGGGGGGGGGTAAATTTCCTAGCTGCTTATATATTGTACAACCATTCATATTTTTTCAAATCTAGTATGGTATTTTATGAGAGTCACCAGCATGAATTTTTCAGTCTTGGTTTCTTTCTGCAGACGAATTCTTTCCGTGTAGTCTTTACGTGACCGATTCTTTTCCCTGAAAATTTTAATTATAGAGATCAGATAAAAACTCACTTGCTACAGTTAAAAAATGGTAAACACCACAGCGTACACTATTGAGTTATGGATGCACGCGGGAGGTTGCTAAGCACGAAAGAAGCGTAAGAGTCACTCAAGGCGATAGCCGAGAGCGACTCTAGCTTCTTGAGTGCTTAGTAAACCTCCCAAGTGCATCCATAACTCAATAG